CACAAATTTTGAATTTGCAAGAGCTAGTGTTTTCAAAATATGTACAATATGTGCTAAGTCACGTAAAGCTTAAAAATATGGACCATTTTTTATTATGGTGTGAAGCCATGTGTATTTTCTTGTAATTGTTTCAAACTTATATATAATTTTGACAGTTATACCCTTGAACTATTAGCTACTGGACTTTCTGCAGCAGGAAGGGAAGCCGGGATAGAGTTGGCATTGTATCCCTATACCAAAAAATGAAATTAAAAAATAATATACATGTAAATTTGAATTGCAAAGCATCACCCAAATATGGAAAATATTTAAAATAAATAAACACGTTATAATAAACGGAAGGAAGCCAAGGACAAACAAACATACCTCTAGAGATAAATTTGGGCCTAGGGTAAAATTGAGTTCAGGATGTTGATTAATCGCAGGCCTGTCAAGTAAAAGAGTATGAGCTTATACAAATTTATTTGATTATAAATTTTAAAGTATAGTAAATTAGTGAAGGATATTTTATTAATAACGAACATACAATTATAAGTGGATAATTAACTATAATACATGATTTGATATTGCAAATGAAATAAGTCAAATGTACACCTTGGTGCAAGAGTGTTTCCTTGTGACACACTCCCCATCTTATCATGCACGAGTATGTTAAACTCATCTTCCTCTGTAGTAGCATTTTGGTCCTTATGAACCAAATCAAAAGAATGTGTATTAGCATGTAATTACATATATTAATTCGGAGAAAATGACTCACTATAGTATTAGGAAAAAAAAATCAATTTTCGTTAATGGTAACATTAAAAGATGAAGAAATTATATTAATGAATAGAGCACTTTGATATGTAGTTACGTACCAGAAAAGAACCAAAGAGTATGTGACTTTGTTGCTGCACAGGTGGATCAACAGACGCAGTAGCACTCGATGACTCAATTTCAGCAGAGGTTGAGTTAACATTGTTTTGATCATTAAAATAGTTGGTGCTTCCCTGTGTACTTGACGACATTTTGGTTTAAAAAGTTTCCTGAGGATCATAAAATAGGAAACAGAATTATTAATTTCATGCAAATTTAGTGTGCACAGAAACACAAGTATTGCATACAACATGTAATAAACGTATCTAGTCTAAACATATCTAGCCCAATCAACTGAGAATTGTTCTTGTTATAAGCTAACTGGAAAGATTATTAAGAAATAATCAATCAAAAAAAGAAAGAACAATTACATGAACAGATAAGTTATATTAAGATGGTTTAAACTCTGGTAACATTTATTACATGGCTGCTAAGCTCAAGTCATTAGTATCTAGCTCATCATCGCACGATCTTACTTATTAATTATTTTACATATAGATATGATTTCTCAACTTTTCTTGTACATTTCAACATGTTTAATTTGAAATTGATAGCAAGATTTGATGTTCTCGTTAGTTCCTACACTTATTATGTGCTCCGATAGATTTCATGTTTTTTTTTTAACTTGAAGGACAATTAAAAATGACGAAAAAAAGATAATTAACAATAATGATGTAATTAGAGAATCTTTGGTGGATTGATGTTATTAGTTGCGATATAAAATTAGAATCTTTATAACTAATTGAATAAGGAAAAAAAAGCAACTTAATGATGTATCTCGAAAAAGAAAAAAGAGAGAATGTGACGACGTTCTACTAATAAACATCCAATAATGAAAAGAAGAAAAAGGACAACAAAAAAGTGCCTCTACATGTAACAAGAAGTTATAATTTACCTACAATCTTAAACGGAGCAAGTTTGCGTAACAATCAATATCAACACAAACCTATTAAAAAAAAAAGGTAAAAAGAAATGTTAGAATGTCAATCAATACATACCTAAGTAAAGAAAAACAAAATCAAATCAAAGTTAGGTTTTAGTTACTAATTTTTATTATTGAGAATACTTTGTACATTCAAAGTATAACTAAGGAAGACACCGACATGCAAGACATAACGTTATATGTATAGGATTAAAAATCTTTCTCCACTTTTTATAGTTCTTAGAAAGATACAACGGTGATTGTTCTATAAGATCTGCAGGTGATTGTACAAGCAGGGTGCAGGCGTGCAGCTAAAAAAGAGAAGAAAATTAGAAAGATTAAACCCTCAAATGTGGGAAAAAAATATATTGTTAATTGGAGTAGAAAAAGAGGACCAAAAAAAGGGAAATTACCCATTGACTCTTGAGATGCGGTGAAGAAATGGGGAGGAAATCGCTATATTTATAGGTACATGAAACCCTCAAATATGAAAAAGTGGCCCATGCACCCCCGATTAATTTGTTACTAATTACATTATGGAAGGTGAAAAAAGAATAAAGAGAAATATTATTCCTTTTTAAGATTTGAGGCAATCTTGTTTCTTTTCAACTTCTTAAATAGTTTCAGCACAACCAAAATATAAACCACAAAAAAAAAAAAGTTAAATAAAAAGAATAAAAAATTAAATGTGGAAAGCCAGGCTTAAATGAAATTGAAAAGTGAAGAGTTTTCTATAATATAAAAGAAGAAAGCTCAACGCAATATTTCAAAATCAAGGGGAAAAATTAACGGTCAGCTAGGGTTGGCAAAACTGAAATTAATCCTGAAAATCAAGCACCAAAGAAGGAGGCATAGGTACAAATTAAAATAATTTAATGGTTTACAAATAGATAAAATACAATCCTACAAAATATAATTTAAATGGCTTCCGGTAAAATTTAATGATTTACGGGATGAATATATGAACAATATAAGAGTTTGCCAAAAATGCTTACCCTAGAGTTTCCTGAAAAAGTTTCAATTTAGCTGATTCTTTTCAAATCGCTTACTTAGAAAAATTGAAAGGTTTACATTATGAATATCTGAAAAATTCAAGAGTTTGCCAAATTACTTTAGAATACTTGCGTAGAGTTCCTCTTGGAAGTTTCAAATCAAAGTGATTCTTATCTATTGACTTACAAACAGTTAACTCCTCTTTATTAGAAAGACATTTACGAAGTAAACTAAAGGAAGAGATTTTCACACTCCAAGAGTTAAAATAAATCTGCGTTTTTACTATATTTGTAGACATCTTATAATGATGCCCCATGTCTCATGATCCAAACTCGAACTATATATTACTGGTGCTAAGTAAGGTAAAGCCAATCTAACATACCTATATTTTCGACTACGAAAAATAGAGAAAACTTGAAGAATTAATCAAAATAGTCTCTCACTCAATCCCTTAAACTAAAAATAGGCAGCAAATGTATAATATACTTGTTAATGGAGGTCAGTTATGGAGATGAACTGTAAAGAAAATGAGACGAGAGAGAGAAGGAAGAGAAATGCATCCTCACCGTATCAATACCGAGCTACAGAAAAACTGAAAATGAAATAAGACTCCCTATTTATACACATGGCTAACTAACTAACTAACTTGTTAACTTAATCCCACACTGATGCCAACTCATTAACAGCTGGCATACAGATGTACAACTACTCCTAACTACCAGCCTCAACACTCCCCCTCAAGCTGAGGGATGAAATATGTTCTTCATTCCCAGCTTGCCTACCAGATGATCGTGTTGTTGTCTGCATAAGCCTTTTGTAAGCAGGTCAACTAACTGATCTTTGGTTCCAATATGTTGAGTTTGTATTTGCCCATCTTGAATTTTTTCTCTCACAAAATGACAGTCAATGTCAAAGTGTTTTGTCCTCTCATGAAAAATGGGGTGAGCTGCAATCTGAATTGCAGCTTTGCCGTCGCAAAACAGCTGCACAGGCAAATTCCCCTTCACTCCAAGCTCTTTAAACCGCTCAATTAACCAAGTGATCACAGCTACAGTTGATGCCATGCTCCTGAATTCTGCTTCAGCAGAACTTCTGGAAACAGTACTTTATTTCTTTGATTTCCAAGACACCAAAGCTTGCCCAAACTTCACCATGTAGCCTGTTACCGACGTCCTGGTTTCTACACATGCTCCCCAATCCGAGTCACAGAATGCTGACAATTCTGTGCTTCCATCTGCTGGCATAAACAACCCAAGACCTGCAGTGCCCTAAATCTATCTAACTACTCTTATTGCTGCATCCATGTGAGACTGCTTAGGAGCATGCATATATTGACTAAGTACCTGAACTACAAAGGCAATCAGGCCTAGTCATAGTTAGGTATAATAGTCTGCCAATCAGCCTTTGGTAGCTGCTTCTATCTTCTAATTCTTTGTCAACTGAGGTCTCATTAGTGTGCAGAAACTTGTCTAGTTCTACAGAGGAAAGCTTGTGATTGAACTCTAGAGGAATAGCAGCTGTTCTACTGCCTGCTAATCGCATTTCATACACTAGCTCAAGTGCATACTTTTTTTGATTCATCGAAATTCCTTCCTTGGATCTAGAGAACTCAATACCAAGGAAAAACTTCAGTTCTCCCAGATCCTTCATTTTAAACCTGGCTTGTAGATCTTTCCTTACTTGTTGAATGAGTGTTAAGCTAGTTCGTGTCACCAGTAGATCATCCACATACACCAACACTACTACGTGATCACAGCCTGCCTTATGTGTGAACAAAGAATAGTCATAGTGCGATTGAACAAAGCCCATGTCAATCAGTGCACTAGTCAGCTTCAAGTTCCACTGTCTGGGAGCTTGTTTAAGCCCATACATTTGACATATGAAGCCTGCAAACCTTCTGTTATTGATGTAACTCCCCCTGGCTGGCAAAGCCATCTGGGATGTGCATGTACACCTCTTCAAGGAGATCACCTTGAAGGAAAGCATTGTGTACATCCATCTAAAAAATATACCATCCAGATGCTGCAGCCAAAGCCACCACGGATCTAATAGTCACCATCTTAGAAACTGGAGAGAAGGTCTCCTTGTAATCTAAACCTTCTTGTTGGCTATATCCTTGGGCATCTAGTCGAGCCTTATACCTCTCCACTTCACCAATAGACTTGTACTTCACTTTAAAGACCCATTTGCATCCTATAGGAGTTTTACCATGAGGAAGATCAATAATAGTCTAAGTCCGATTAGCTTCTAAGGCTGAAATCTCAGCTCTCATAGCCTCAATCCACTTGGGATGTGCCTTGGCCTCATCATAAGACCTTGACACAGTAATGGCTGAATAGGCTGCAAGTGATGCCTTGCAGGTAGGTGAATGGGTTACACACTGTGAGATAGGGTGAGCAGAGGAAGAAGACTTTGACAGCACAATATAGTCTTCCATCCATATAGGAGGTTTAGTCACTCTAGAAGATCTCCTTAAATCAGCAGGAGCAGATAAAAGAAGAGAAGATGAGGAAAAATTATCAGTAGGAGGTGGAGAAGGGAAGAATAGACTAGGTTGGTTATTCAAGGGAGGCATAGAAGGACATGGAGAAGCAGATGGATTGAAGGAGTCAGAAGAATGCAAAGCAGGACACTCAACATTTCTGATCTGTAAAACTGCAAATAAAGGAGATGGGGTAGTGTGTAGATGTTTGAAGGATAATATATTCTCTGAACACAGTGTCTCTACTCACAAGAAGAGGTGAGCTCAGGTCATATAGAACATAACCCTTCTGAATAGATGAATAACATAGATGAACAGCAGGGATAGCTCTACGGCAGAAATTATATGTTTTCTTCAGGTTAGTTGAATAACACAGACTCCCAAAGACTCTGAGATGGTTTAAAGAAGGGGACTTATGAAACAGCCTTTCAAAAGGAGATACACCATTCAGTACAATAGTAGGCAACCTATTCAGAATATACATAGCAATAGTAACACACTCTCCCCAAAATTTAAGGGAACACAAGCCCGAAACCTTAAAGCCCTGGCCATATCAAGAATAAATCTATGTCTTCTTTCAACTCTGCCATTCTGTTGAGGAGTGTATACACAAGTACTTTGATGAACTATTCCATGTTCTTGTAGAAGTCCTGTGACTTGATTGTTAAAGAATTCAGTACCATTGTTAACCTTAGACACTTGACACTGCAGTAAAACTGATTTTTGACTAATAACAGAAAATTTCTCAGAATCTCAATAGATTCTGCCTTGTCATTCATTAAGAAAATCCAGATAAACCTTGAGTAGTCATCCACTAAAGTCATAAAATACCTCCTACCATTATGAGTAGGTACTCTGTATGGCCCCCAAACATCAGCATGTATGAGATCAAATGCATTAATAGAACATGCATTACTGGAAGAAAAAGGAATTCATGTTTGCTTAGCAACAAGACAAACTGTACAGAAATTCTCATTCAACTGAACATTTGGCAGACTTTCTATCTTCTTTAGAACTCTTAATGGTGCATGACCTAACCTCTTATGCCACAAAACAGTCTCATCTAGACATTCAGATGAATTCTTATTTTCAATACTAGCATTATTTGTTTGAAACTAACTAGCAGTAGTATTTACAAAAGGACTGGAATGAAATGGTCTAGGATCTAACAGCTGCTTGGGAATATCTTGTTCTTTGTGCTTCAGAATGTAAAGACCATGTTCCTCTTTGCTAATCCCCATCACCTTCCCAGTGAAGAGCTCCTGAAATATGCAGAAGTCAGGAAAGAAAGCTACTAGACATCTTAGCTCTTTTATGATTTTTGACACTGACATCAGATTGAACTTGAAATCTGGAATATAAAGTACATGATGTACTGATTTATCCTTAAACAATGATAGATCACCAGTGTCACTGATAATAACCTTTTCACCATTGGGAAGTTGAATCGAGTTCTGATCACTATCTAATAGCTTTCTAATATTGCTCAGTTGATTGAGGTTGTGATCCATATGATTGGTAGCACCTGTATCTATAATCCAATTATTGCTCACTAGATGAGACATGAGAGCTGTTATAGTACCTGTAGTATTCACTGTTGCAGAATTAGCCACGGTATCAACCTGTTTTCCTTTGTTCAACATGTGCAGGATCTGATTGTATTGATCTTGAGTAAAGAAGGGTGCTGAAGAGACACCTGCTGTTGCTGAAGAGCTATCAGTTGCTGAACTATATGATGAAACCACATTACCAACACCTCCTTGTTGTGTACATGAAGCAGGTGCTATGCTGGCAGTGTGTGCATATGCACCTTTGGAATCAGGAGGACCTCCCCCCTCCTTTCCTACCTCTGAAATCAGTGGGGTAACCATGACGTTTATAACAATTGTCTCTAGTTTGACCTTTAAGATGGCGAAGTCACACTGAAGAGATGACTTTCCAAAGTTATTTCTGGGCTTATAGCCACGGTTGTAACCACCTGTAAGGACTCTATAACTCAGTAGAGTTGTAGGATCACCAACACCAACAGTAGAATTGTTTCTTCTATGTCTTTCCACATTAATGATCATTGCATATGCCTGGTTTATGTTAGGTACTGGTCTAGTCATGAGGATCTGATCCTTGGCATTGTCAAAAGTATCATTTAGCCTAGTAAGAAACTGATACAACTTCCGAAGCTGATAATGTTCTGCATTTTGCTTAGATTCTGGACAACGACACAAGGGAGGAGGAACTAAAGCCTCATATTCATCCCACAACTCTCGAAGTTTTTAAAAATATTCAGACACAGATAATAGACCTTGTGTTAGCTTCCCAATTTCCTTGTGTAAGTAGAAGGATCTAGATGCATTGACTTTGTCAAACCTCTCATGAAGATCCTCCCAAACCTTGTGAGCATCAGAAGCGTATATCATAAAACTAAGCAAGTTTGGAGCCACAATATTCATTATCCAAGCCAACACAATAGCATTACACCTATCCCATCGTATAAGCTAGGATCAAACATGTGTTTTCTACGGGTTCCTAACACAAAACCTAACTTGTTTTTACCATGCAATACAATTTTCATAGATCTACTCCACAATGAATAATTCTCAGAACCTTGAAGTTGAATTGAGATGAGAACTGCACCTTGTGTATCAGACGAGTGGATATAGAGAGGATGATTGTGATGAACTAGGTTTACATTCTAATCATGTAGTGTTGGAATGGCTGGAGTAGAGCTAGTTTCTTCGATAGCCATTGTAGTGATCAGTTAGCAGATCTTCAAAACACAATTGAGATTGAAATTTTTAGTGAATTGAGATTCAATCACAGAGAAATTATCGCTGTAGATCCCAGATTCGACATCGAGCTCAATATGTAAGAGTTTTAACTAGCTTCTCTTCGCAGCAGACTTCTCCTAATTGCTGAACCAGGTAGCTTCACTACAGCTCTGATACCATGTTAATGGAGGTCAGCTATGGAGATGAACTAGAAAGGAAATGAGACGAGAGAGAGAAGGAAGAGAAATGCATTCTCACTGTATCAATACTGAGCTACAGAAAAACTAAAAATGAAATAAGACTCCCTATTTATACACATGGCTAACTAACTAACTAACTTGTTAACTTAATCCCGCACTAATGCCAACTCATTAAGATCTGGCATACAACTGTACTACTACTCCTAACTACCAGCCTCAACAATATTTAATCCTTGTACAAATATGTGTATCATAGTGTATAATGTATGGGATAAAATTTGTTTACAACGTATGATTGAATGGTAACAAGACACGTGGAGCCAAAGATAAACAGAAGACAAGTCATGCGATGACTAACACGGAATGCATTACGTGTTTTCGGTACCGAAGGAAACGCAATCGGTGATCGGAGTCCAAAGGGTTGTCATCGGATAACCTTCGATGAGGGAATATTCATTAGCATTAAATGGGCGACCGTTGTAGAGAATATCAACATTCATGGTCTACCGTTATGCGTTCATTAATACCACTTTTATTATCATTTAAGAGGGGCTTGATCCTAGGATCTTGTTTTCCTAGGTAAAAGCTATAAATAGCAAGCTTAGCAGTCATTGTAAGGCACAAAACATTCTACACAAAAAAGGATATATTCTACTACTTTGGCTTTGAAATAAGTAACTTTACTTGTACTTGATTGTTGCTCTCACTCTTATCCTTGGAGGCATTGTATTCGAAGCCAAACTTGTCATCTTCTTCAATTTTAATTGTTAATCTCAATTTTAATCTTATTTCCTTATCATTTTTAGAATAAATTGATCCGCTTGTCTATAATCCACACAACAAATTTAACACTACTATTTTACGGGTAAACAGTTTGGCGCCCACCGTGGGGCTTTGACAGTTGTGTAATTGCATTGGTCTTTACGTTTATTACTAATTTGTTTTTATTCTTTCCTTAGTTAAAAAAGATATGGCAGCTAATGATGTCAACATCACGCACTATGTTGAGGGGCACAAAAACTTTTCTCAACAGATGACTTAATCGTTAAGGCTCGCAATGAAGGGGATAAGGCGACCCAGATTCGTGATAACCAGTATCCTCGGCATGTGCGGGAACCGACTCCCGATGATGTGGATGAGGAACATTCCGTGGAAAAGGTTATAGGGAACAGCGGAAAGCAATCATGAAACATCTTTCCGTGCAAGATCGGGTAATGACGCAGTTAAAACAAGCATTATCTGTCGCCTCTAATAATGCAAACGGAGGGGACCCGGTTCCTCCTAATGTTCCAGCAAATCAAACGTCTCACAGAGTCGATGATAACACTCCAAGGGGAGAGGTCGGATTCGACAGTGCCGGCCGAACCGGTAACGGATCTTGGAATAACAATAGGAATTATCACTTCAAAACCGAGCTCATGGTAAGGTTTATGAGGGAAATGAATGAACGAATAGATCAAAATGCGAAGGAGTTTCACGCTCGAATGCATCTGATTCCGGGTGCACCACCGGTACTAAAAGTTCCAGATTCAAAAAAAATACATGCAATTTCCATTTAAACCAAGTGCAGCACCAGAGTTAATTCCAAAAAGGTTCAAGATGCCGGACATACCAAAATACAATAAGACTTAATATCCTCAGGAGCACATCACAACCTACACCACGTTTGTGAAAGGCAACGATTTGGCTCAACATGAGATCGAGTTGGTCCCGCTAAAGAAGTTTGGCGAACCCTCATAAAAGGGTCCGTGACATGGTATTCTCTCTTACCCGAACATTCAATTGACTCTATTTAGATGATTGCAGATTCGTTTATTAAGGCCCATGTCGGAGAAAGGAAGGTTCAATCCAGAAAGGCGGGCATATTTAGAATTGCACAGGGCGAGTCGAACTGCTTCGAGAACTCATGATCCGATTGCAGAAAGAAAGGATGCTATTACTGGTGGTACCAGATGAGTAAACATCGGAGATGTTCACAAAAGGTCTAAATCTACGAAGCTCTGGCGCCTCCCGTAAGCTAAAGGATAGCCTGTTTGAGTTTCAAGCAATCACATGGGCAGATGCCCATATCCATTATGAGTCAAAAATAAGGATAGAAGACGATCATCTCGGGTTCCCGGTATCAACTAAGGAAAGGTTTTTAGATAAAAACCAAGACAAGTTTAAAAGCGACTTTGATGAGGATCGGCGATCTTCTAGGTGTCATTTCCTACCATATGAAAGAATCGTAGGTCGTAACAACAAAGTGTTTCAGTCATCGGATAAGTTTGCTCTAGATAGAAAAATCAATCGTGGTCAGAGCAGTAGGCCGTTACAGGAAAAAGGGGATGCCAAGGGCCCGGGATTCCACATATCCAGGTTATCAAATTATAATTCTAACATCAATTTCGTAGACTGGTATCAGCAATGAGGAATATTAAAGAAGTTCCCGAAACCAATCAGATTCGATCCAAACCAAATGGATCTCAATTTATAGTGTGAATACCATGGGACTCACGGCCATAGAACTGGAGACTGCCGACATCTTCCTGAAGAGGTGGCAACATTATTGGAGAATGGCCACCTTAGGGAATTTTTAAGTGACCGTGCCAAGAATAACAACGGCCAAAGCCAAGACAATGCAGAGCCGCCGAAGGTGGCAGAAGACTCCCCTCAGCTGACTATCAACATGATTTTCGGAGGAAATGAAGTCAACAGTATAACCTATTCAGCAGCAAAGAAAGCAAAGATAATCGGTGACTCACAACAAGAGATTTCGGGAACTCACAAAAAATGATGTCGCTTTCATGGACGAAGACACTGACGGACTTCTCCTGCCATACAACGATTCTTTGGTAATCTCTCTCAACGTTTTAGATTTCAAAATTAAACGAGTTTTGGTTGATCCAGGAAGCTAGCCAACATAATACAATAGAGAGTTTTGGAGCAAGAAAAATTGACTGGAAGCATCATTCTAGCAACAAAGCTATTAGCCGGCTTCAACTTGGAAAGCGTGACAACTCGAGGAGAGATTTTTATACTCACACACATTAAATGAGTAACAAATACCACTCTATTTGAAGTGGTAGATGGCAATATGGGTTACACTGTAATCCTTGGAAGGCCATGAATACACGAGATGAAGTTTGTGCCCTTAACATATCACCAGTTATTGAAATTCCCAACCCCGAAAGGAGTTAAGAAAATAAAGGGAGACCAACCGGTGGCAAGGGAATGAATGTAATAACTATTTCTAGCAACAAGGAAAAAGAGTCTAACAAATAGAAATTACAGGAGCCGATGCCTTCTCCCGTTCCGAGTGAAGACGATAAAGGCGAGGAGTCTTCACAATCCCACTAGGTGCTGAGGTATTCTCAAGTACTAGAGAAGACTGATTCTACCAAGTCAACTGTAGAAGAACTCGAGTAGGTGACCCACTTCAAAGAATTTTTGGGAAGGAAGTTCCACTTGGGAATAGGACTTAATCCCGAACTCAGGTTAGAATTTATAAATTTTCTTAAAACTAATGCAGATTGTTTTGCATGGTCACACTCGGATATGACATGTATCCCGTTAGAGATGGCCATGCACAAGCTAAGTTTAGATCCAAACTTCCCATCGGTAAGGCAAAAGAATGCCCGATAATGGAGGTTAGGAATAAGTTTGTTGAAAAAGAAGTAACCCGATTACTCAACATTGGTTTGATCCGAGAGGTAAAATATCCAGAATGGTTAGCCAACATAGTTGTAGTTTCGAAAAAGAATAACAAATTTAGAATGCACGTAGATTATAAGGATTTAAATAAGGCATGCCCTAAAGACTCGTTCCTATTGTCGAACATTGATCAAATGATTATTGCTATGGCCAGACATGAGTTAATGAGTTTCCTTGACGCTTACTTCGGGTACAATCAAATCAGATGACCTAGAGGATCAGGAAAAAACTACATTCATAATGAACTTTGGCACATATTACTATAACGTGATTCCATTTGGGCATAAGAACGTCAGCGCTACTTACTAGAGGCTCGTTAATAAAATGCTTAAAATTAGATAGGTAAAACAATGGAGGTATACATTGATGACATGTTCGTCAATTCTTTGAATGTAGGAGATCAACTGAGATACCTCCAAGAGACTTTCGATGTCTTGAGAAAGTATAGCATGAAACTCAACTCGTAAAAATATGCGTTCGGTGTTGGTTCTAGTAAGTTTTTAGGGTTCCTGGTTCAGCAAAGAGGGATCGAAGTTAACCCCGACAAGATCTAAGCCATCAAAGACATTCCAGACCAGCTAACGAGCGTGAAGAAGTGTAGAGATTAACTGAAAGGTTGGCGTCCCTGAATAGATCCATCTCAAGATCCTTAGAAAAGTGTCACAACTTCTTTTCACTTTTAAAGAAGAAGAAGAATTTCGAGTGGACTCCAGAATTCTAACAGGCATTGAAAGACCTAAAAAGGTACCTTTTTAGCCCTCCATTACTATCAAAACCGAGGGAAGGCTT